CCATTTTTCGTAAAAACATAATCTTTGATAACTCATATACCTGTATACCAGTGGAGTGGATGCTACAAAAAGTATTGCAGAATTTTATCAAAGCCAATAATAGGGAAGTGTCCCCTTAGGAAATGTGCATGTATTGTTTGAAATAGAGAAACAGAGAACTCATCTCTGAGGCAATCCTGCATTGATGAATATCTATCTGTTCAACCGCATTGTCACACTTACATACCTCACCATGAAATCCAGAAACACAAACCATCTACATTGTAAGTATGGAAGCTCATATGCTTTAAAACAAAACCTTATATTAAATATTGGATATTATGCATATTGGATAGCACACATTCTTTGTATTTGACACAAACACAAATGAAATGTTATATTATACCTTGTGGGCTTCATTATTGCAAAATTATTGTATCCTTTTATGATAATAAAATTGATTGTTATAAAAAACATCTATTGCTCCCATCTGGGAAGTATAATTTGATTGTTTTCAGAATTGATAGGGCATTTTCATTAATATCTTTCACTTAAACTCCCTAGTACACAGACCATGCAATAGGTTAAACATTACATGTGGAATTGTTAATTTTAGATTTCCCCGAAGTTTACCTTTATCATATGCAAATTGAAGTAATTGGCCATAAGTCCAAATGGCTTTCCAAACTAAAAGGAATATTACAGAGAACAATATAAGCTAGATATTTAATCAATCAGATATAATTTGTTAAAACATATTTTGTTCTAACGGAGTTATACCTAACCCTTAAATGTTTTTTTTGTGTTTTACACCCTCTAAAGGTATTTGGGGTCCCCAAGATATATTTTGCAATTCCTTTGCAACCAGAGAAGCTTTTTCATTCTGACTTCAGTTTTACATAGGTTTATCTATTACCTTTCAGAATATGTATGCATTATTTATCATGAATGCATGGAAATATGTGTAAACCTAATCATAAGGGGTCAGGTGTTTTAGCATTTTGTAACATTTCGTAGCATTAATATATAACACTGTATTAATTGAATATGTTCCAGTGATAGTGATGTTCTTTGGCCTCAGATAGCACAAAAAGTCATAATGCGATTTTTATCTGGTTTGTTTTATCTGAAAGGAATTGAATTAAGTGAGGATTACATGGAATTTCATGTTGATAGAATGATTGTTTCTGATATAATTATGGCAAAGAATGAGCTCTGGGGACCCCAAAAACCATATAAGGGTGGTTACAGGCTGCGCTATCATCTCTCAAGCATATATTATTAAATTTTGGGGATTTATATTTCTTTGTAATTATTCATGTGAGAATGTTGTACTGATGAAAACTAACACTCATGCCAGTTACATATGAGAAGTGCATGAGAATATAGAACTCTAAATGTTCAAACCATATTTAAATTCTTATTGTTTTTACACCTTTGGACACCCTCGTTTCCTAATCGAGGGAATTGATTTGAGAATATCCACACAATGGCAGAATTAATTTCTAAGATGTGATCATATTTTGAAACTGGAACTCACGAACTACATACTTGCCGAAGTCCATACATTTGTTAGCCAAACCACAAGCAATCCAAAAATGTTTTGCGTCTAAAATGTGAATGAAATTTTCCGTATAATATTGCACTGTGGTGGTTTTAATGCGATGTACATCAAGAAAAGTGCACTGAAATATAGAACACTAATGCACTAAAATACCGAACAGAACAAAGTAATAAGAGTACGCTGGTACATCCGGGAACTTCTAGTAGCAGTGAAATGAAGTAAAGAAATTTTTTTAGATTAATGGTTCATTTCGACTAACTAAAACAGCGAAAGAATATAAGAAAAACTTGGAAAATGAAATAAGACATGAGAAAGGTAAGCGATTTGTGTCAAAATAAGGTAAGAAAGGGTGATTTTTAGCAAATTAATTTTTTCAAAAACATCGATGTTTTGTTTCAGACATCGATGCATCGCCAGAATCAGCTTTGGCGATGTATATCGCCATGTATCGATTAATCGCGACAACACTAGTAATTACATATATAATCAATAGCAAAATCTAGAGTCAGACCTGTTCTATAGCAGGGTCTCCCTTCACAAAGGCTTTATTTAAATTAGTGCGAATATATTTATTAATTGGATATAATTTCATCTTTTTCATTTTATAATATCTGTAAATACTTACTTTACATACTATAGTATACATTTGTAGCGTCTAGTACTTACGCTTCAAGATGGTCAACCTTTCAAATATTTTGATTTTCCATTTTTTGTTATGATTGAAGTCAAATGTAATCTCGAAAAAAATTGCAGGATGTGATATTTTGAATACACACATTGTAATTAATTGACTTTCCAGTATGAGACAAAACACTATTTATGACATAATACACATATTTTATATTCAACAATAAAATGTACAATTACAAGTACTCCACATTAGGTATATATATACAAAATGAAGCATAAGCACTGCATGTCCATTGTCCAATATACATTGCCTACCTCAGGTGCTAACTTCACCTGCAAGATTAATACATAATACTGTATAAACACTGACATAATTGAATTTTGACTAGTAAAGCTATGAAGTCATTTTGATGCATATTGGATATATAACTCTTACCATACGCAGTGAAACCTGTATATAGAGAACACCAATGAAGCCAGAAAAAGTGTTCACCATATGTAGATGTTTACTACAGACTACGGGGATTTTTTATAGGAGTCAGTGTAAACTGTGTCTTGAAGTGGTGTTCACTAAACACATGTGTTCACAGAGAGGTGTTCACTAAGACAGGTTTTACTGTATACAAATTAACTCTTCTTCACAATTCTACAGTTACCTCAATGTGTTCAATGTAACCTGGAGAATACTGTGGTATTTCTATAATCCAAATGTGCTATATATAACATGGAGAATAATTAGCACAAATCAGTTCATCCCAAGTCAACAGAATTGCAATTTATTTCAGTATCATTAGAACTATAGTATTGTGTTCTGTAGCACATTTGTCTCTATAAGCTGTTCTTAGCTATTATTTACTGTGGTTTAAAGCCATTTTTGGGTTATACATTTTGGTGCTTGTTGTCCATTTGGTTTGATCAACATTCAACATCAAGAATCACTATGAGTGGATAGTTATAGGATATCCTATGCTTTTGAGGAATATCATTTTTATCCACGAGGTGATATTGATATCTGCACGAGAGAGCAAAGCGAACGATTCCATATATCAATATCACCGAGTAGATTAAAATCATATTCTGAAAAAAATCATAGGATGTTCTTATTATCCTACATTTACAAGGAGTGTACTAAATGTATAATATCATTGCAAAATGAATTCCATGCCAAATAGATTTGGCGGGAAATCAACAAGCGGAGTATATCGTCACAATATCCTCCGCATATTGGGCTTTCCAGAGTATATAGTGGCGATATCCTCCACATATTGGTTTTCCGGAGTATATCGTGGCGATATCATTCGGTTATTCATTTTGCCAATAGATATCAAATTTATTTTTTAACGTTATTGTAAATTTAGCACACTAAGTGTAGGATAATGAGATTTATACTCACTCATTGCAATCGTGGAGATACTGATCACTTTCATATTTTTGAACATGTTCTGACAATAATATTCAAGGAGCAATAGACTACATATATTGAGCAGTAATATCAATATATGTACCTATGACGTGAAATATGCCTTACTCACAGTATGCTGTTGTTGTTCAACTCTGCATTTATCTCATATTTAGGCAGTAATGAAGACATATTTCACTTGTATAACTGATGTATTTTTTTGTATTTATTATAATTTTGTTACAGCGAACAATAATATACCTCATTGGTATATTTCATATTTTATGTATTTCACACTCAAAGAGAGAGCCAGAAACCCCTCCTTGGAGGGGTAATTACACACTACTAAAACAAATGTAGTCTGAACCTGGAATTGAACCTGGGCCCAAGTGATAGCAGTAACATTGCATACCTCTATGTTTGTGGAAGTCTGTATTGATGATATCACACAATTATAAATTACTGGAATGTGCATTCCTTGCTATATGTGAATTGTAATAATTTATAATTGTGTGATATATACTATAGTTTCCTGGCACTTCCTGGCAAGTTTTGTAACCATGTATGGTATTAAAGGAAAATGATGCTATGGTATGCTGATGGCAGTTTCAGTTTCACATTACAAAATCAGATTCAGAAATAAAAACATCAGTTAAAATCTAATAAAACGCACATGTCACAAATGGGATCAGTGTTTCACATAATTTACACTCAGTGTAATCATCAATACATTTTCCTTGTACATGTGCTATCGAAATCCCAAAATACTTCCAAACCGTCACTTTTTTTTTAGGTGCCGGCTCAATGTTTAAATAATTTTTAATGCATCGATTTGTGGATGATGATGTAGGGAATTTATGAATGGGCATTACCATTAACCTAAAATCACATGAACACTTCATTGCTTAGAAGGCTTGAAGTAAATATTTTGATTCTTCCAAATTTGGAGGTGTTTCTCACCATTTATACACCTTTTTACGCATTTTCCGTGATTCTCGAAAAATGTAAATCGTTATTAGCTAAAAATTGATAGAAAAATGTGATAACGTGATACTTGGAGTGTCTGTATTTTATAATATAGCTGAGTTCTATGTTTTGAAAGGAATTTAAACATATTTTTCTCTTTTCCCTTTTGACATTGCTAAATGTTCATCTCCAACATGTTCACTCATGTGCTGGGCTTTAACCCTTCAATGAAGCATGATGTCACAAGGTTGTCATTGTAATAATGAAACCATGTCATTGAGGCCAGGATATCTCAGCTGTACAAGACCATACATTCATTAGGAATATCTATTTTTAAGTTACAAGATGACACAGTATTGAAAAGTGTCTATACTAAAGTCTCAAGATGACACATACATGATGTTTATATTTAAGTCACAAAATCACACTATCACAAGTAATATCTATTTTCAAGTTACTGGTACAAGTTGACACATCCATGAATCGCGCCTATATATAAGTCATTAGATGACACATTCATGAATCGCGTCTATATATAAGTCACAAGATGACACATCCATGAATCGCGTCTATATATAAGTCACAAGCTGACACATCCATGAATCGCATCTTTATATAAGTCATTAGATGACACATTCATGAATCGCGTCTATGTATAAGTCACAAGATGACACATCCATGAATCACGTCTATGCATAAGTCACAATAGGACACATCCATGAATCACGTCTATATATAAGTCACAAGATGACACATTCTGTCATCTATGACACATTCTGTCAATATGTATCTTATTTCCTTTATACACATTTGTTTACAATATGAAAAACATTCACATTCTGCTTCAAAGCAGTGCATCATGTGTATGTACATGAATAATATACAACATACAACACACACATCACCAACCAACATTTTTCCATTATCCCAATATAATGTTGCATTTTGTATTGATATATGTTCCCACAGATACCATCAGTCTTTTAACACTTTTCACTGTCACTATCCTCATCCATCTGATTTTGAGGCCTACAGACAACCACCACTTGGTTGTTGCCATTGTCAATATTATTCAGAGGGATTGAAGAATGCTGTGTGGCTAAGGACATAAAAGTCGGTTCCTCCTCGGAAGCACAACAAGGAGAGGCACGGACACAACAAAGACTTTTCTTGAATGACTTCCTGAAGTCTTTAGATACAAAGTTGTAGATGAAAGGGTTGATACATGAATTCAAATACGCGAGGCACATCGTGAATACCTCACTTATGTTCAAAAAGGTTCTGATTGTTGCATCATTATTTTTATGTATATCGAATGCAAATGAAGCAATTTGAAACATATGAAATGGCAGCCAACAGATGGCAAATGCCACAACAGTTACAATAATAAGTCTTGTGGCATTGCGCTTCCTTTCTTGTGAGCTTTGGCTTATAGCACTTGCCCCATGCTTGTTCAAGTGTTTGATTATTAGCATATGTATCACACAAATCAGAACAACTGGGATCAAATATGCGATCGTGAGCATTGTGTAATAGATATGACTCAAGCGTTCCTCATTATTAAAGTTGCACATGGCTTCGTCTCCCTCTCCATTAACTTGGTATGTTGTCAATAGTGGTATGTTAAAGAGCAGTACCAATACCCAGGTTATTATTGCCACTTTAATAGCATTCCTTGTCGTCTTATATCTGGCAAACTCCCGTGAGTGAACAATAGTTAGGTATCTCATAAATGATACTAAAAGGAGGGAGAAAGTAGACAGATATACAGATACATAGCGCATGTAGTGCATCAATTTACAGCCAAAGTCTCCTCCAACCAGCCAGGACATCAGTACCAAGTTTATGGCATCAAGGGGCATACAGAATATTGTTAACAACAAATCGGATACAGCTAAATTAAGGAGTAGTATATTCAACATTGTACCCTTTCTCATCTTGGTGATTATAACATAGATGACAAGGCTATTGCCTACTAGCCCCATTGCTACTATAAGGCCATACACACTTGGGACCACTAGACGTCTTATTGTCTCTGTTATAATTTCCCGTTGACTTGGTGGAGATAGTGGATAGAAATTGTCATGTATACAACTTGCCCATGTAGTGTTATCTTCCCCGCAAGTAGATATAAATTTTTCCTCAGTCACTTCTAAATCATCCCAAATTGGAACATTACTGATATTTGCCATTTTGATTTGTTTGTCACAAGATTCTTCACTTCACCCTATGCTGTTGACAACAGAATCAGTACATGGTCTTCAAAGTTTATGGCATATTCCACTTTACTTTCTCATTTCTGTTCTTTTTCAAATTCTTTCTCCACCTGGCTTCACCTGAAAGAAGACAGATGCTAGCTTTATATATTTGTTCTTTAATAAGACATTGTCGACATAGGTTACTACTTTGATGATGTAATAAATCATATTTTATGCAATCTATTTGTTATTGTGGCCCTGTGATTCCATTGTCAAAGTTGACAAGCTGCTTATAGCATGTATAGCTTTCAGAAAAAGTTGGACCAGTTGATCTTTTAACATTGGTAATGATTTTTTCCACTTACATGCATATGTATATTGACAGTGAGATATCAATATGATTAAGGTGAAAGTATGTATTGTAACATGATGAGAGTGATATCATGTATATTGTAGCATAATTAAGATTATGATTGATTTTCCAAAAGTGTGTCCCCCTCAAAAAAGTGCATCAAAGTACAAAAGGTTCCCGGGAATTCAAAGTCACATTTTACACTGAACGAAATGAAATCAATGAAAAGTTTGTATCGTTTTTTTTTTTTGTTATTTATCGGCCTAAATCAGCCATCTACACACGTCTAGTAGGTCTCTTCAGCTAAGGACCAATCATAGGACTCGTACCGATTACCACCCGGGAAATCGAGTTCTGTAGCAGCTAATTGTCCTATCACATGGCTTGCATTATTTCGATTGGACATCAACTTCCAGGAAGGAAACTTCGAAAGAAAATTTTATTTCTTCTTAGAAATTGTTTAGCAGAATTTGACCAAATAAAGAGACTGAAGGTAAGATCTTTATCAATACATTCAGCCAAAGTTGCTTTCTTGATATTCTACTTATGAGTCCATCAACTTTTTTGAATTGAAAACATAGACTTTTTTGCATGTTTTTGTTTGTTTCGTGGGAAGCTGTAATTGAAAACATAGATGATAATAGTGATATTATGTACATAACATGACAATGGTGCTGCTATGTTCAATTGTACAATGGACATTGTAAAATACTGACGGTGACAACATGTATGATCTGATGATGATAATTTTTATTGATGATGGTGATATTATATATTGTGTATTATGATGGTGTGATGGTGAAATTATGTACAATGTAAAATAATGATGGTGCATGATGTCATGGGCGTTATGACAGGATAATGGTGATTTTTTATATATTTTCAATTATGATATTATATAGATTGTAAAATGATAATGGTGATATTATAATATAATGTTGATGATATTATGTTTTTTGTTACATTCCATGGGGCTTTAACGTTTCACTTACCTATGATATTAAATTTGTCTATTTGATGATATTATGTATTTTGTTACATTCCATGGGGCTTTAACGTTTCACTTACCTATGATATTAAATTTGTCTATTTGATGATATTATGTATTTTGTTACATTCCATGGGGCTTTAACGTTTCACTTACCTATGATATTAAATTTGTCTATTTGATGATATTATGTATTTTGTGACATTCCATGGGGCTTTAATGTTTCACTTACCTATGATATTAAATTTGTCTATTTTATGATATTATGTATTTTGTGACATTCCATGGGGCTTTATTATTATTATTATGTCGCTTTTTCACTTACCTATGATATTGAATTTGTCTATTTTAAATTAGCTGATATCTTTTGGATTTAGTGCTCTGTCAATGAATGTAGTTTCAAATATGCTATTAGCTTATATGCATTATGAAGAACTAGATGATTATATAGAGCTGCATTGTTTAGAGAAGATTGCCAATGCTAGCTTTAATTGGAAAAAGAAGAATAAGTACATAGATGACACTACACTAATAGGTTTTAAATCTTTGAAACTCTACTCTTAATAGTAATTGCATTCTGAATGATTACCACATTGAGATCCTTTGCTAGAAGGAACACTTTATGTCCAGAAACTAGTATAGTCATTTAGAGAATTACATCTATGTTATACATTAGTCTGCCTATGAGATGATTTGAAACATAATGATAATAGTGTATTTGTGTGGCAGCAAATAACAATTCAGAACCGTTTTAAAACGTTCTAATGTTTTCATTACAACCTTATTTTTCTGGAAAAAGGAAATGGGATATAAAATCGAAGATGTAAGTTTCAGAAATGTTTTCCAAAATTACTCCTTCGTGCATCATGCATGTCTATGGAATGTTGAGAGCAATAAATAAATGTAGAATTGCAATATTTTTGGCTCTATTCTTTGGTGCTTCTTTAAAAGGTTTGTTTTGATTTTTACTGAATTTTGATTTGAATTATTGATTGAAAACCAAACCAAAATAGCATTGACTATAATCAATAAAAAATTCATAGTACCTCAAACACGTTTTTCATGAGAACTTAAATTAAAACACTCTTCCTACAGTATTCTAAATAAAAAGGAAGAGAGAGAAATGAGCTGTATTTCAACAATGACTCGTCACATATCTGAAGATGACATTTAGATTCATGTTATTTAATCAATTTTGACATATTAAAAAATCACTTATTGCAATTGGAAAATACACAGCTGCTTCTCTAAACTAAGTATATTTTAGGAATACTTTTAATAATATATTTTGAGAAAATTCACATTTTTAATGGGTTTTTATGACTCATCCTTTCGATTGATGAATTGGATTTTTATATGATTGATTCATACAACAAAAGAAGAAATAGGTTATATGTATGCAATAAAATATTAGAATTTTTATTAGATAAGTTATTATGAAACTTTTGGTGGGGGCAAAAATCCCCATGAGAATGCTATATGAAGATACCAAAATAATTTTTCGGTGGGATTTGCTACTCCAAGGAGTTGCTGTTTTTTGTTTGTGATGTATAGCAAGACTGCTATTAGCCAGCCACACAAATCACTCAATTTGATTGGAATTCTCCATGATATTTAAAAGCACGCTAGGATAACACAGCAAATATAAAGTCCTCATTGGTTACAATAGACGGGAACATCCCATGAGGTATATTTCCAGGTAAACATACATCAATCAAAACAAAGTACACATGTAAACTAAAACATGCTGTGGAAGGATTGAGATGTGCTTGATTGGGATCCAATTTGTTGATTAAATTGCTCAGTGTGAGTATCATTCCTCGTAAATTCTCTGGGGACAGATATCTATTCCCTCTATGTGTTACATTAGACACCTCTTATCTCTACTTTGAAAATTCAAGAGCCAATGTGTCCCAGCATAAGATTTAACACTTTGATATTCCAATATTTAACTAAGGTGAACTCAAATGTTTCAGCCAATACATATTGATGAAATGGATGCCCTCAATCTATTGATATATGAACTTTTATATTTCTAAGAACTTGAGAAAACATTAATTCTGGTAAATCAATTAATTTTTATTTGCTCTTACCGTGATTTTGTGACATTTAGCTGCGGATTGAGGCATTATTTGTTTTTTTAACTGTGAAGAAATTGTGCTTTGAACTTGTGCTTGATTAGAAAGATCCATGGGGAAAGGGAATGTAGGTATTGACAAGCATTTTGTCATTTGCGATTCATAAGTATTTCAATTGATTGAACCTAATTCTCTTTCCGTAATAGTAAAACTGCTTAATTGCCCAAATTAGCGTAGCTTCGCCTACAAAAAAGTCTTACAGCTGTATCAGATACACTGAAGCAATTTCCAACCTTTGACTTTTCATTGCTTTTAATTGGTAGAAAAATCCAACAGAGGCTTCATCAAGTTTAATATAAGTCTTTTGTTTGATGTTTTCTGTTTTGTTTTATGTCATAGGTGTAGTTTTGACAAAAGAGGCCACTACTTTTCCCTAGCTCCACTGGTGGATCCCCTTGGGTCCCAAAAAGTGGGCCTTTTGGGCATGACTAGGCCTTTAAAGACCTCATTTTTTAATTTTAGGCACATTTTTTGAGAAAATGGGCCTCAAAATTTCAAACTTTTTTTCCGCACAAGCACGGATGTTTTTTCTCTGACTTGAAATTTGGGCCCCCCCCCCTTGTTGATTCCCAGATCCGCCCCTGAGCTTTATCTACTTTTGAGCATGAAAAGCTTAAATGAAAAGCTTGAATGATTTGAGAATGTTTTGTTCAGTGAGATTTGTGACTCTATGGAATTGAAAGTTCAGAATTGTTATAGTGCATTTTTAATGAATGAATAAAAGTGAAATAAAAGTAAACCAACTGTTATGAACACCATTTGGGAATTTCATAATCAGTTTCTGATTCACAAGAGACATGTAAATGGCAAAGCATACCAACATCAAGGTTGATTTCCATCATTATTCATGATTAATTGTAAATCATAATGGCATTTTAAGTACCTTTTACAAAGACTAAAATGTTCACAGCAGGAGTGATTAGTGGTTTCTGAGGCAATGCTCACATTTAGAATATCAACTAACTAATCTGCAAATGGGGTATTATTTGCTATTAATATCTAGATAGAGTGTTGAAGCTTTTTAGATATCAGATTGCTGTACCTTACTGAAACCATCACCCTTAGCTTGTATTCGCGAATGCAACTAATGGCTGTCGGCTACCATATTATTAACCCACTATTTTATGGACAACCTATTTGAATATGGATGAAATAGTGGCAAGTATTATTCATGTTTAAATTAGTTGGTCATTAAATAGTAGGTTAATACGGTTGCTGTCGGCTACCATATGTATTATTAACCCACTATTTTATGGACAACCCATTTGAATATGGATGAAATAGTGGCAAGTATTATTCATGTTTAAATTAGTTGGTCATTAAATAGTAGGTTAATACGGTTGCTGTCGGCTACCATATGTATTATTAACCCACTATTTTATGGACAACCCATTTGAATATGGATGAAATAGTGGCAAGTATTATTCATGTTTAAATTAGTTGGTCATTAAATAGTAGGTTAATCTGCTAGCTGGTAGCTGTTATTTCCACTTGCAAATATAAGCGTAGATAACACAACCATTACCAAGTTAATTTACTATGAAAAATGCAAGTGAACCCAAAGGTTGATTGGTTCCCATGTGATTCAAATGAAAGAATTATTGGGATATAATGAGGTGGCTCTTTGTTGATCAGTCAGTGCAGTAGAATACAAGTGCTCTA